CCCTTGAGGGGTTTCCTTACAGCCTTTCACAACCTATGGACACTTCTCCAGCCATCTGCTCAATTTCAATATTCTAGGATCATTATACCACAATGCATCTTTTTAGACAAACCACTTTTCACAATTTGTCCTCTCTTTCATCACGTGGCTGAGATTCTTCTAAGGGATATGTGGCACAACAGAGAGGCAGCCAAAATGAGTTAGAAAGGAACAGGGGCCGAGCTGAACATCTGGAAAGCTGGATGGATTGTAGGAAAGGATTTGGAGGAGGCATCTTGCTGTTAGGGGGTTCCCTGCAAAGGGAGAAGCACTGAAGGCATCTACAAGAGAACATAAATCCCCTCTGTATGACAGCTGGACAAGAGGAGAAAAGTCACTCCTGGTGCTCAGTTTGTAATATTTGGTGGGATTTAAGTGCCCTCAGGGTCTTCTCTGGGGTCATTTGGCAAGTTGCACCCTTGCTGTTCAGCATTAATAAATGAAGTTATTTTCCCTGTGCTGGAGACCCTGGAAGGACATTCCAGAGGAAGCTCTCAAAAAGCTTCTCCAGGATAAATGGAAAAACAAAGCTCAGGAATGACAGAATCCAGGGAGAAGCAAGCAGCTGTAGGAGTCTCCACATGCTGCTCCTGATGTGTCAAGGACTTGTGACGCGCTGAGAAGGTGCTGACCTTGAAAAGTCACCAGAGTGGTGCTGTGCAGTGAGGTCATGCAGAGCTGAAACCCTCTCTTTTTCCGAAAAAAAACCTCCGAGCAGGAATTTCCTGCATATTTCTCCCTCCTAACCTGGCTGGGCTGTCCATTCCAAGAGGGAGGGTCCATGTAATTTATTAAGAAGGTGGCCAGGTACTTATTTACAACGGCTCTACTGAAGGAGCAGATCGATTGAGATAAGGGAAATGAAGAGCTCTCGAGGTGTGTTGGCAAAGAAAAATGCTCACTGGAGGTTGAATTAAACACTCCAGGGCATGCAAGGCTTAGAGATAAGCTAAGAACTTTGGCTGTGGACATACAGAGCAGTGTTTTCATGGCTCCTCCTGTGCTAATGGGAGGAAAAGCCTGGTTGGTTTGAAAGGAACAACTCTTTGACCCTTTCCCCTGGTTCAGACTTGAGCAGAGCCTGTTCTGGGCATGAGTGTGTTTGTAAAATTGAGAGCTTCAGGAATTCTGCATGGAAAAGGAGAGGTTGGGGTCAGTGCATCCAGGAAGTGCTGGTGCTCAGGAATTTGAAGGTTAGACCACAGTAGATGACACTCGGCCCATTTCTCAACACAGAATTGCCCACATGAAGGAGATTGTTTAGGAGGAGAGCTCAGGAGAGTGGAAAAATGCAAATGCCAGCTTTGATCATTGGAAACAGTGAGGAGAAAAAAAAAAAAATGAATGATGGGAGCCACGAGAGAGTTGAGCAACACTGAAATGAGATTCTGATCTTTATAGACTTTCCCAATCTTTTCTAAAGGTTTGGTTGTTGGGTTGTTGTTGGGTTTTTTTCTGGGTGGAGGAGAAGGCTGGAAGGTTCATGAGGTTCCCACCTGATGATCAATAATAATGACAGGGAGCTGAAAGAACTGGGTTTCTCCTAAAGATAAATTGACTTTAGAGAGAGAGAAAGTGTTTACAGCTGGAAGCAAAGTAGACACCAAAAGAGGGTGCTCGGGGAGATGTTATCACAATCCAGGAGCTGTGAGTGAGCCAGGAGCAGGAGGAGGAGGAGGAGGAGGAAGGTGCTCAGCTCTGCTCAGCAGCAGAGCCACTGCTCATGGGGAGATGTTTTGAGATTCCACCCTTCAAGTGACTCCACAGTGCCCCATGAAACACCAAATTTGTGTTTCACCGTCTCGGAGCCTGATGACACCTTGAGAACAAGGCTCTCGCTGGAGATTGTCTTTTGCAGATTAAACTTTCCAGACTGTAACTCAGATCAAAGTCAGGTGTGACTGTTTCCCTGCTGTACCGAGCAGGGAGCAGTGTGGAAAAGCAATTAGAGATATTTCTATATGTTTTTTGGGTTTTTTTTTTAATCTTAGATAATCTTCCCAGCAACGGAAACGAATAGTTGAGGTCACCAACGTACAAACTCCTCTTCCTATGACTGGTATTTTCATTTTACCACTGTAGTAACCACCAAAAAAACCCAACACAGAGACAGGCTTGAGTTTGGCTGTTCATATGATTAAAGTTTATGAGGTTGGAATCCTAAACTTCATCAGGGTCCTACTGATATAGCTCAAAAAATCCTTCTGGCTTCACAACCTGCAACAGGTTGATGGTAACTCATGGATGCTTTATCTCTGTTGGGAGCTGGGTAAAGGACCTTGGAAAGCTTTGGGAAAGATGTTGGTGGCTTCAGTTGATGTGGAAACAAACTCTACAGATGTTCCCACCAGAGTTAACCTCAGACACCAGAAAACATCCACATTTTGGACTCTCTGTAGTCAATGGCTGGAGGATGAGTAGGAACAAGTAAACTAATGTTTTTTCCTGGAGAGTTCAATGAAGGCATCTCTCCAGATAGTTTACAGAGATAGGACCACTTAGCTCCCAATCCTAAAGCTGGGAATACCTCCTAAGTCCCAGTCTTGTGGGAGTTCAGAGGATTAAAATGTGGGTATGTGGCACCCTAAAACTCAATGAGGCGACAGAGGCAACTCAACAAGGCAACAGAGGCAACTCAGCAAGGCAACAGGGGCAACACTCAACAAGTCCTCTGAAGACTGAAACAATGTTTTAGAAGGTGTCTTTAGTCCAGAAATTTTGGTCCAGTGCTTTGTAGAATATTTAACAGCAAAACAAAAATACACACTTGGCATGGGCTCCATTTCACAGATGGCTTTCTGCCAGCTGTGTACCCTGAATTAATCTAAAGCTCAGAGAATCCCATATCTAGCCACTGAGATAATGAAAATGAGTTTAATGGGTCCTTTCCTGTAGGTTCCTGCAGGAACTCATTTCCTTCCTCCAGCTGAGGTCTCTGCGTGTCCTTCAACCCAGGGCTGAACTTTCGTGGGTGGGAGAGTTTCAAGGAATTTACCCATGCTGGTTGTCAGGGATGATGGTGTGATTCACCTGGAGACTGCCAGCGTGCAGACATGCCCCAGCCACCCAGGGGGAGTTGGCCAGCACAGCCAGTGGGGGCAAGGCCATGATTCACCCCAAGCACACAGCTCAGCTGGGCAGGGGCATGGAGATGTCTGCTGCTCCCTGGTTGCAAAATCAGCCTGGGGTCTGTTGGAGAAATCCCAGTGAGCTTTGGAGGGTGGGTGACAGGGACACAATTTTGAGCTCCTTCCTCCCTTTTAATGCAATGGAAAAAAGGGGCACTTCTGGAGGGCAGTTCATGCTGCTTGTCTCAGCCTCCCTCCCTGGGGCAGGATGGATTGTCCTCTAATGTTGAGAATAATCATCTCCCAGAAGTCCAGCAGAGGTGGGAAGAGGCATCTAAGTTCAGAAAATCAGCTGGAAATCCTTGGCTTTGGTTGTTGGGTTGTTGGGTTGTTGGGTTGCTGGGTTGTTGGGTTGTTGGGCTGTTCCACCTTGTCCATCTGAAGTTCATTTAGTGGAGGGCACGTTCTTGGCTGAGCTGATTATCCTGGTTCTGAACTCCTAGCTGGAGCCATTTGGGATCCATATATGGATGTCCTTATTTGCCTGGAAAGGATGGATTTGTAAGGATTAATCTGCAGTTGCCAAAGCCCTTGAGATGTGGCTCCTGACCATGTGAATGTCACCTTCTTCTCAATTCTGTCCCCTCTAGACCAGGTCCCCTCCAGGAGTGGAGTTAATTGGCTGCAAGGATTCTTCCCTTTAAAACAAAGCAATTTTAAAATAATTTTTATCCTAGCCTAAAGAACTAAGCTAATTTTCTTCTGGACTTTGGCAACAATAGAATTCTTGTGTTATTTTTTAAGTCAGAGCAAAAGAGAATGAAGGCTTTAATTCCCTGACAGCCCTGTTGGTAATTTAAACACACCAGACTGTTCCCAAATGAAAACCACACAGCAAAAAAATGAATGTAAACAGAAATACACACTGCCCAGGCAGGTTCCTCTTTGTCATTAATTCAGGGCAGAAAAGACAATCACGAGATTTAATTAGAAGAAAAGGAAATTATACTCTAAAAATCCCTTCAGTTTTAGTAATCAAGGTTATTATTAGAAGCACCAGTAAAAAACACTTTAAAAATCTATCTAATTAGCTGCATATCTGCTGATCTCCCTGCAGAGCTGACTTGTTTGTCTCCAAGGCTTCACCACCATAAAGGTTCATGGATACTCCTTTCCAGACTTCCACTGGGCTGAGCAGAGTTTGCACTCAAGTTTAATTGGGATTGGTTTTTGGTTGTTGGTTTGGTTTGGATTTAATTTCACTCCCCTCACTTTAACCAAAGCTCCACAAGAATGATGCTGTTCCCCTTCCCAAATTCTTGGTGCTTCCTTTCCAAAGACTCAGAGCTTGATGGTTTCAGCTGCTGGACTTATTTCTTTGGGGAGCTCCGAAAGTGCTTTTGACTCAGCTGCCAAAATTTCCTATAAAACATCTTGTAAGAGGTGTGCTTGTGTATCAAAGAAAGAAATGCATGTTTGAGTCCCTGGTTGCAAAGGAAATTATTGGGAGGAAGGAAAGGAAAGGAAAGGAGAAAGGAGAGGGGAGGAGAAGAAGGAGAAGGAGAAGGAGAAGGAGAAAAGGAAAGGAAAGGAAAGGAAAGGAAAGGAAAGGAAAGGAAAGGGAAAGATTTCACAGCACAATGATGAATGAAGGCTTTGGGAGGATAAAAAAAAGGGGAGGAAGATATTTTAAAGCAGAGTTTTTTGCCTTGGTGCCTTTTAGGGAACTTCAGGAGATGTTTTGGTGACGGATAACAATGAAAATGGTGTTTTCTGGTGAGGAGGAATGCTGAGGAACTAAAGACATTGATTTCCTGTCCCCATTGTTCTGAACCAAGCACAAAGGTGAAACCCAGCCTCACAGATCTCTTTTCCCCTGTTTTTGTTGCCCAGGTCCCTGGCCATTGGTCACCAGTACTCGTCCCTGGGGACCCAGCCCATCCTGTGTGGGAGCATCCCGGGGCTGGTGCCCAAGCAGCTCCGCTTCTGCAGGAACTACGTGGAGATCATGCCCAGCGTGGCAGAGGGGGTGAAGATTGGCATCCAGGAGTGCCAGCACCAGTTCCGAGGGAGGAGGTGGAACTGCACCACTGTCAACGACAGCTTGGCCATCTTTGGGCCCGTGCTGGATAAAGGTGAGTGAGGAGCTGTGACCCTGTTCACAGGGGTTCTTGGAGGAGGGAAGAGATGGGAATGTTGACTCCATGTTTCAGAAGGCTGATTTATTATTTTATGATATATATTATGTTAAAACTCTACTAAAAGAATAGAAGAAAATGTTTCATCAGAAGGTTGGCTAAGAATAGAATAGAATGGAATGATAACAAAGCTTCTGTCTCGGACAGAGAGTCCAAGCCAGCTGACTGTGATTGGCCATTAATTAGAAACCACCACATGAGACCAATCACAGATGCACCTGTTGCATTCCACAGCAGCAGATAATCAATGTTTACATTTTGTTCCTGAGGCCTCCCAGCTTCTCAGGAGGAAAAATCCTAAGGAAAGGATTTTTCATAAAAGTTGTCTGCGACATGGAGCTGCAGGTTTGGGGAGATCTGTGGTGGAATTGGCAGCAGAGGTCTTGAAAAACCTCCTGTGAGCTCATTCTCTTCTGAAAAAAATCCTGTAAAATGTCCTGTATAGACATAGAACTTGAGCTGGATAAAGGAGTGGGGTTATCTGAGTTCCAGCTGGCAGCAGGAGGTTGGACTAGAGACCTCCCTGAGTCCCTTTCAGCATGAGTTATCCATGATCCTGCACACTGGGAATGAGCACAGAGGGTTTCTGTGTTTGCAGCGCTCAAGCTGGACCTGGCTCCTTTTCTGACCCTGCGCTGTGATTCCAGCTCTTTAGGTGATAGCAGAGGGGCAGAGGGGCTGTTGGGGATGGTTCCTAGGGACTGGACTTACCTGATAACAGCAGTTTTTATGCTATTATGAAATACAATGAAGATCAAAGGCCTGGGGAAATCACCATCAACTAATGCATCTGCTTTCCTTGGTTGTGAACACAGTGAATTAGGACAGGGTGCAAATTCAGGCAACTGTTTCTGCACACCTTGATAGAAGTGGGAACTCTTAGAATTTTTTTGACCTAGGTTGTTGAATCTTGTGAGATTTAAGCCCTAAGCTAAGCTTAAGTATCTGGTCTTTTCCCTTATGAGTTGGTAGGAGTCTGTGAGAACTCCTTTATCCTTCTTGTAACTTGTTGGGTGTCTTTTAGAACCCAGCCTGGTCCTGCTGGTCTCACTAAGTCTGGGATAAGTTTGGCACAAAGGGGCCCTTCCTTTCCTTTCCTTCCTTTCCTTCCTTTCCTTCCTTTCCTTCCTTCCTTCCCTTCCTTCCCTTTCCTCCCTCCTTCTCTCATTGAAAAGAGGAATGAACATCTCGAATATTTTCAGGGAATCTGGCGTATGTAATTGATCCATACCCACCTTGGGGTGTGTTCTGTATTGCTTCCCATCTGTTCTTTTTCAGTTTTCCCCTCAAATCAGAACTGATTTGGGCATTTCCTTCCCCCAGACCACGTTGCTCCAACCCAATCTTGAGGACTTCCAGGGATGGGGGATCCACGACCTCCATGGGCAATGTTCTCCCAGACACTCTGGGGTTTTACACCCCACATTATCCTCATGGATAAACTGCTCCTCACCTCCCTGCTGACCAGAGGAACCCCAATCCCACCATCTCCCAAATTCCCAAATATATCCCCAGCACCAAGGTCTGTCCCTGTCCCACACTGGAGGCTCTCGGTAGCCAGGCTCAGGGAGGGAGAGGAGCCTGGGACGATTTCATAACTGAAGAATGTTGTTCCTTGAGGGAGAATCAAACCACCCTTCAGTTTTGCTTCACCTACAGCAGGAGGGGGGGGGGGGAGAAGAAAAAAAAACAGCTCAAAAAAACAGCTCAGTCGCATTCTTGTGCGGCAGATCCCCCAGGGTAGGAACATACTTGAGCTCCTACCCTGAAAGAGAGAAGGGGAAAAGGAGAGAGAGAAAGCAAGGAAGCAAAAATCTGGTTTGCAGCTTGGATTTTAAGGCACCCAGGATCTGAGTGCAGCTCTGGTGTGGGTCAGTGGGGATCCCCATCCTGCCTCAGCAGCTCCTGCAGCATCTCCCCTTTGCCTCACACACTATCTGCACTCCTTTCACTGAAAAGGATTGATGTTAATGCCTCCAGGAAATCCTTTCCAGGCCCAAATCTCACTGTCTGGGCTGCCCTTGCTGCTGTGGGAGCTCATTGCTCATTCAGGACTGGGCTTGAGCTGTGATTCAGCAGTGCCAAACTGTCACCAGACTCTGGTCCTGCTAAGAGCCATATTCTGATATCTCCTCTAAAACCAGACTCTTTTTCCCCATCAGCCTTCATATGGAGAAAGATCCCGCATGTTTTAGCTAAGTCTATATTTATGTGTAATTATTTTAGCCAGGCCTAATCTCCAGAGGTCTCTTCCAACCCTAACAATTCTGGGATTTTGGGGTGAATCACACATTAAACAGGAATGGCACTGATGAGCTCAGCTGCCAGGGAATGGTGATGTCCAGGGGATCCTGACCTGCTGCTGTTGAAGGCCACACTTGACCCTAAATCCCTTTTTCTCTTTGTATGTCACCCAGGGCAGAGAAAGAACAGAAATCCCCCATCCCACCCTATTTATTCAATTATCCAGAATTGAATTTATTCAATTATCCAGGTGTGGACTTTCTATCCCTGGGAGTGTCCAAGGCCAGGTTGGATGGGCTTGGAGCAACCTGGGAAAGTGGAAGGTGTCCCTGCCTGTGGGATGTGTCCCTGCCCATGGCAGGGGGGTAATGAGATGAGCTTTAGGGTCAGGGCTGTGGGATGGGGCTTTTCTCCTCCTCTGTGGTCTTGGGAGTGTATGGGCAAGTGTGCAGCTTCATGGAGAAGCATTCAGAGAGGTGCCACTGTTGGGTCTTCCTTGCAAATCCCCAGGAAATGGGAGTTTTGGTCAGTTTGGACTACTTGGAAAGCAAAAAAAAGCCAGGATTCCTGTATGGCGAAAGAATTGTGTCTAATCTCCTTCTCTCTGCCCGAACTTAATCTGCTTTTGATTTCTGATATAAGGGCACTAGAACTCATTTCTGGTCTCCCAGGAGCTCAAATCTCAGCTGCTGGACAGTAGAAAGAACCTCCCACTTGAACTTTTGCAACAGTAATATCAAAAGGAAAAATGCTGTAATATTGAAAGGAAAAATACTGTTGTTTTTTTCTCCACCTGTATTTTGTCAAGTGCAGAAAACCACATGGCCACATGACCTGAAGTGACCACTGAGCCACAGCTCGTGCTCAGCCACTTGCCTGAGAGGCTTTGCAGTTTTTAATGCAGTAGTTGCATCTTTCAGTTCACCAAGGAGAAGGGGAGATTTTTGAGTTGCCTCTAAAAAGAGGCAGGACAAAACTTTGAGGGATGTAGGAGGACACCCCGTCACTGACAGCAGAAAGTGAGCAGTGCAACCTGGCAGGCATTTTCCATCTCCAGCTGAAGTGCCATGCATTGGGAATTGTGCCTTTTGCCTTTATTTTAGCTTTTGTGGCCTGAAGAGGCTGTTCATGCTTAAGCTGTGAGTTTAGAGTCTCTCGGTGCTGCGTGAGCTCCCTTTGAAACTCCTCTGGGCAGAAATATGAACCAATCTCAAGAGAAGTAACACAATTAAAGGTTGTCATGGGCCCTGTCTCTTTAAAGGACTTTGGCACATAATTAAGTCAAAATAAAAGTTTCCTCTCTCTCCCCCCCCCCCGCCATTCAATAAAAGTAAATTACCTCCAACTATTTAAGCCCGCTGTTCGTTTAAATTTAAAAAGGGAGCCCTTGTCTATCTATTTCTTTCACTCACTCCCACCTCCTTCTGCTAAAGACTGGCCAGGGCTTTAAACCTGCCAGCTGGGCTGAGAAATGGTTAATAGTTATTGTGGAGGAGCAGCTTTTAATGAACTATTGAAGAATGATACATTGATGGAGTAATGGGAGTTTAAGTCTCTCTGTAATGAAACAGGTTCTCAGCGCCGACCCATTGTGGTGTAAATACGGCACGTCTCTCCCACTGTTTGGTCAGGGCTAAATAGCAGAGGCCACAGGGGGGTCTGCTGATGGGGTCTCCTCTTTAGTTAATCAATCTGATTGGATTAGGGTCACTGAGATCCCTAATAATGTCAAAGGTTACGCCAAACTGGATTAAATGCTTTGTTGGAGAGGGCTCGGGTTCTTTCAGCCCCGGCCGGCAGGGCTTGTTTATTAGACTTTAACACTCGTGTGCAGCCTTGGGAAGCCACTCCTGCCCTTTCTGTGTGCACAGGGAGGTGGGAAGGAGCCGGGGCAGGGGTGTCCCGTGGCTCTGCACCCATGGGATGAGCTCTGTGAGGATGTGCAGCAAATTCCCCAGCGGACAAACGAGAGCCCGATGGGTGACCAAGGCCCAGGGGCGTAAATTCATTCCGGAAATGATGGCTGGCTGCTGAGCCTGCTCCGAGGCAAATGTCGAGAGTCACAGCAGTGCTGGAGTGACCCTCTGCTCGTGTTCCCTGGGGTTAATCCTGTCTGTGGCCAGCAAAGCCCTGTCCTTTCACTGAATTCACAGAATTCACGGAGTTCACGGGATTCACAGAATTTATGTAATTCATGGAGCTTATGGAATTCACGGAATTCCCAGAATGACCACGTTGGAAGAGACCTTCAAGGTCATTGAGTCCAACCCAGCCCCAACAGCTCAACTCAACCCTGGCACCCAGTGCCACATCCAGGCTTTGTTAAACACCCCCAGGGATGGGGCCTCCACCACCTCTCCACGCAGAACATTCCAGAACTTTATCACTCTTCCTGTAAAAAGCTTTTTCCTGCTATCCAACCTGTATTTCCCTTGGTGCAGCTCGAGGCTGTGTGCTCTGGTTGTGTCAGTGCTGCTGCAGACAGAGCCCAGCCCCAGCTGAGCACAGGCACCTTTCAGGAGCTGCAGAGAGTGATGGGGGCAGCCCTGAGTCTCCTTTTCTCCTGAGTCTCCTTTCTGGTGTTGGACACCCATCAAGCTGAGCAAGGGATGAAATATGGAGATATTTCAGACCACTGCATTGCTTTGCTGTTAAACTGGAGGATGTCTTGCCTTCCAGCACTTCCATCTCAA